ACTGTAGCAGGTTTTGTCGAGATACAAAATGATAGGCTAGTCGTTTCTTTCCAAAAATCAAGGCACGTCCAGCCACAACCCAGCTCGGCTCTCGTGAATCCTGCCTACGGAATTCTTCATGGGAATGTCTTTGTGTCCTGTCCTGCACCGTGCAAGGAAGCTTTCGCATTGCCATTTGGGTGCAAAGGAGCCAAAAACTAGTGAGATTGTGAGGATCTTGGAAGCGCAAAGTTCACTGACGTAAACTCTCCGATGATCTGAGTTTGGGTACGAGGCAGAAAGGTGGGTACCCGCTTGCTTGCAGATCTATACGCTACAGTTGCTGCAAAGATGGAGCCAAAATGAAAACCCTGTGCATTTACTATTATCCGACTCAAAAGCGCGTTCCGCGATCGCAATTACTGGGTTTTGGTCTCCAAATGCTAACGACGAGGTCTAGTCCGATAGCAAAGGAAAAGCAAAAAAAAACGCCCGGATTACCCGAGGTAGTGCCTTCAGGGTATACGGGCAAGAGAAGTCGTGATTTGCCGCGCCGTCGCGCGCGGCGCACCGTCTGGCGATGAGCGCGGGATTTTTTCAATGTGAGCATCACGCATCGATAGGCGCGGGAATTTCAAACTGTGCATCAGTTTCGCAATTGTGGAGCAGCGAATGGGAATCGCGGAAGTCGTTGCATATTTTTTATTTTTTCTATTTTTCAGGCATTTCGCATTTTTTTGACAGTTTCCGACAGTCTATTGCTGTCATGGCTGACGATATGGATTATCAAAATATTAGGTTGTCCGGAAAGTTCTCAGCGTTTTGTGCACCTATTTTTTGTACATTCACTGCTGATTAAAAACTCATTCTGCCTTGCTTCTCAGTAGCACATCCTGTAGAGAATTTCTTGCGCTATCTGATGGTATAATTGCCGTTTCACCATTGCTTGATAAACCCCTTTTCAATAGGCGCAATCCATACCATATTATTGAGAGGAAAATTTTTGGATACGTAAGTTCCTAAAGAACAACAAGGAAAGCTTTCTGAAAAGATGCAGTTGGCTTTTAACACAAAAATATCAAGTAGACAGAGCAATTAGGGAATGCTTTTTTCCCTGAGGGGTTTATTCACGAGTTGTGGATTTAGTAAGGCTTGAAGCGTGTCCTCGCTATTCCGCGGACGGAAAGCTTCTTGTCCTGCTACAGAGCGTTTCGCAACTGGTCGCTTTGGCCATTGGTCGTTTTGGCCATTGCTGCCCCGTCGTCTCCTCTTCTTCGTCTTCGTGGAACCGCCAGGCGATTCCTGCATACTTGCCAGGTCCACGACGTGGTGCACTGGAACGGCGTGAGCATCCGCGCTTGCCTGAACGTCTCGAAGATCTTCTGCGACGTTTTGGATGGGTATGTCGCCAGACGACTTTCCTCGATGACCTGTCGCCTGGATGCCAATCTTGAAAAGTTTCGCTTCTGCTCCGAGAGCGGGCTTTGTTATAAATGGTTCGCTTTTGTTCTATTCAACTCGAGGTGCTCGTGTTTTGAGAAGATCCTCCGTAATGGTTCTTCCCAGCTATATGAGCAATAATACTGACTTATAAGCTCACGTTTTTGTACTTGTTCCTCTTTTGTATTTCGCTTGGAAAGAATTTTTGCGTGGGACCTTGCGCGCGCGTCATTCTCCGATCTTGTCATATTTTTTTTGTCAGTCTTCTAGCAATTTCACCTTTTGTAAAGCTGCCCACATGACTTTTGAGGTGACTCAAATCCGGAAGTCTCGTTGTGTGGTATCGGTTGGCATATAACCGCTACTGGAGTTTTTGATCACTGTCAGATCGGCAACAAACTCATGTTTGGAAGGAGTGTGAAGCAATGTCCTTCGCCCTTGTTTTATTGATTGGCATCAGTACATTCAACTACAGAAAGTGAATTGTGAATGTATTATAAAGAAGAACACAAAGGACATAGCAGTTTAAACTAGTTTTCCAGAATTAAATAAATGTGTTGCGAAAAGGTGTAGCAGTTCCCTACATAAGGGCAACACGGTGCCGTGAATGTGCCGCAATCAAAATGCTATTCGCACTCATAGCAGCGCGTGTTTCCTGGTGAAAATCAACGTCATCCTTTGTGAATTGTTCCTTCCCCACGATACCCGACCCTTTAGTTGCGCTTCTGGTGAAGCCTGCGACAAGTCCTTTCCGCAACGATAAGAAGGAAATGAATAATGACCAGAAGCGTGCCAGCTCAGCTGATGCACCTATGGACCATATGGCTCAATGAGAACCTAAACCTGGTCTGATGACTGGCATTTATGAGAATTCACATCATTATAGAAACCGTTGTTATGAAGAATCTTACAGGATGTGAATCAGTCCAATTTTATGATAGGATCTTCATCATGGTTCCATCCTCGATGCCGTTGCATGCATACTTCGTGTCTAGAGGAAGTTTCTTCACCTAAACAGGACAAATTTAGGCAAGATCAATGTGTATTTCATCTGAGGACGACCTCCTTATCGTGTTACTGGCAGATCTTCCCCTTACCGCGCATGGTAATTTGAAAGAGAAAAGAACAACAAGGTGTGGCCAACTCGCTTTGATGCAGTAATTTTGAATGATTTCTACCAAATGTATGAGTGTGAAGGTTCATGCTGTGATGTAGGTGCTAACTTATGTGAGCGGGAAGGGGGGAACCACGCGCACACTGCTCTTCTGCTCCCTCCTCGACGAGACAGTATCCCGAATGTTGGTTGGAGTCGGCAAGGTTTCGATGTAATTTCAGGGAAAGATTATGAAGAGAACGCTGTGGTAGGTTGCAAATTCGAAAGGGCTAGGCCTTAAACGCTGAAAAAGGCGAAGAAGCGATTGCAAATCACTGGGTGAAGATTTTCACATTTGCCTAGAAGGGAAGGAACCTTAGGGAGGGCTCACCCATTTCTTCGTGCGAAATGCTACTTTTGAATGCCCTGGATGCTACGCAGAATCCAAAGCCCCCCTCGTTACCCTAACGAATAACAGGCAAAAGATTAGCAGCATTCTTGACAAATTCCCGTGTATGCACTTCACTTTTCTCTCCGAGGTTAGTCAATTTTCCTCCTAAAATTTGCTAGAAAGCCTTTACGGACTTTTCAAAACACTGTCTTCGGCGTGTGGCGGTCGTCCCCCCCTCTTCAAATACGGCAACGCCGTGATGTGCACATAAAGTACAAACTCACAATATTCTTCTGCCAGGTCTTCACGTTTGGACCTCTACCGAACAGGGTTCTCTTCAGTTTGGTCTCAAGTGATGCTGTGCGCTGTTTCGAGAAATCTCTAAACAAATATCGTTGTTCTGCAGCAGCTATAGCATTTAACTCTGCGAGCGAGCGGATACCTACCTTTCTGCCTCGTACCTATACTCTGCATCAGAATCCTTTATACCTCTTAGATCTTCACAAATCTCATTCATCAGCGATGGCTCCCAAATCTGAAAACAAACGTTGCTCTTAAATAACAGCACGAAATATTTTTTTGCAGATTGCAGTTCAGAACAAGCACACGCTTCCTATGAAGAATTTAGGAGGCGGGATCGGCGAGAATCGTAGTTCTGGTTAGAGATACTGGGCGCAGCTCGGCCACGGGGAACGGGGGGAGGGCATTTTGCTTCCCATCAATGTGGCGAGCCATGTAGATAGCCTTTCGCTACGTTTTACCATGGTGGCTAGGCGGGCTTGCTCCAACTTCACAACAGATCACAAGTTTCACCACACTGAGATTTGTAAACCGGAAGTAGTGGAGCAGTGAAAGTGCAAAATACCCCGTCGCCGAACTGCGCCGAGATAGTGAGTGTTTGGAAGAGCTTCGGCAATCCAGTCATGCCGCTATCTCGACGAAACCTCCTACAGAAATGCTCTTATGGAGTGAACAAATTCATAAGCTCAATAGTCTCAAATGGGAATTGAAAGCGTGGGGTAATGAACAAAAGTCTGGCCTCTGAACTAAAGTGAGAATTCACATGAAAATACTTACCAGACCACGGTTGAGGTTCTCATTGAACTCCATGAACCATTTGTTGTATCTCTCATAGGTAAGGCATTCATTAGCTGAAAAGACTCGATAGATCACTGCTTTAGGGCTCGTTTGAGCAAATGTTATAGAAAGCGCCATTCAAGGTTTGGAGTATCAAGGGGATAGAACGATTGCACTCACAGATGGCGTTGACGTTCACCAGGAAGCAGCCCAATGCTATGAGAGCGAACAGCATCTTAATTGTCGTGAATTCTCGTCAACGTGTAGCCCTTTTATAGGAAACCGCTATACTTTTCGCAGGGCATTTCTATCACATTTTCCCGGAAATATCAAACCACGTGCCCTTGTGTTCATCTTTTTATCAACACATCACAAATCCACGTATTGAGCTTTTCAGAGAAGCGCACTTCCATCAAATCAATCGAGGCAGCGAATATTGCCCAACACACCCCTCCAACACGAGTTTTGTCCGTTGCCGATCAGTAATCAAATGTTCCTGGGGCGGCCATTATTGTGCCGCTCCATACCATATTATGCAGTTTTGTAGACGGCCATTGGGCCGCTCCATACCATATTATTGAGGGAAAATTTTTGGATTCGTAAGTTCCTAAGAACAACAAGAAAAGCTTTATGAAAGGTATGCATTGCTTTAACAGAAAAATATCAGGTAGACAGGCAGTTGTGGGATACTCTTTTCCCTCAAGGGAACCTTTATTCACAAGTTGATGGAATTAGTAAGGTTGAACGGTTCCTCGGCTATTCCAGCGGAGGAGCTTCTTGTCCTGCTACAGAGCGTTTCGCATCTCGTCGTTTTCGGCCATTGGTCGTTTTGGCCATTGCTGCCCCGTCGTCTCCTCTTCTTCGTCTTCGTGGAACCGCCAGGCGATTCTGCATACTTGCCAGGTCCACGACGTGATGCACTGGAACGGCGTGAGCATCCGCGCTTGCCTGAACGTCTCGAAGATCTTCTGCGACGTTTTGGATGGGTGTGTCGCCAGACGACTTTCCTCGATGACCTGTCGCCTGGATGCCGACTTGAAAAGTTCCACTTTCGCTTCTGCTTTTGCTTACTCTTCGCCTTCTTCTTCTGCTCCGAGAGCGCGCTTTGTTATAAATGGTTCGCTTTTGTTCTATTCAACTCAAGATGCTCATGTTTAAATAAGATCCTCCGTAATGGTTCTCCCCAGGCTATATGAGCAATAATACTGACTTATAAGCTCACGTTTTTGTACTTGTTCCTCTTTTGTATTTCGCTTGGAAAGAAACTTCGCGTGGGACCCTTAGCAGCTGCGTCATCTCCATCTTCTCATTTTTCAGTCTTCTAACAAATTTTACACCTTTTGTAAAGCTGCCCACATGACTTTTGAGGTGACTCAAATCCGGAAGTCTCGTTGTGTGGTATCGGTTCACATATAACCGCTACTGGAGTTTTTGATCACTGTCAGATCGGCAACAAACTCATGTTTGGAAGGAGTGTGAAGCAATGTCCTTCGCCCTTGATTTATGGCTAATGCCGTTTGGATTCCAGCAA